CCTGTGAAAGAGTAAACTGAGGAATCTGGTACTCAGGCTGGGAGAAGCTGACTAGTGACCAGAATCCTCTGGCCTTTGATATATGTGTATATATATATTTTTTCAGGGTTTATGTGAAAACATTACTTTAATGCCTCCAAAGATGGTTCCATTAGAATTTGCCATGACAAGAAGTATACTCTAAAACAGGAACAAGCCAATACTGACTGCCACATTTGCTTAGGTCTATGACCCCTGTATGATAGTTGATGAGGGAGGGAGGAAGGTAAACCCCAAGCTGAATAGGCCCCCCATAGTTTCCAAGTAATGCAGTAAACAAATCTATGATGCTTGTTGAATAATCTTCCAATAATTGCAGTCATTAAAATCATCACACAGTCTACAGTCACCTTCCTTCCTTTGACACACCAGAGTCTTTCCTTTAATTGTTAATGCATTTTTGGCTCAGATAAACAGATCAAGGCAAGCTTAAAATATATGGCCCAGATACATCTAGCAGCAGAAAATTAGTTCTGTAGCAAATGTTTGGAGTATACTTAACAGACTAAGGGTTTTCAGTTTCTCCAGTAGACCTTACAGGCAAGATGGGTACTTCTGAGCTGGAGAAAAGATGAAAGTTCCATTGACCTACTGATTCTTCCTGGCTGTTTTATTTGCAAGGGTTGGGCTGGAATGAGGGCATTCTAGAACAAATATTAAATGAAAGCTCAATAGAAATTGTGGGAGAGTTTCTCAATTTTCAATTAATTTCCCTATTCATTTGATCTCAAGGCTGGTGCTTTTTAAAATCAAGTATGTGTTAACTATAAAAGATTCCCTTCTAATCAAAAGCTGCATTTCCTTTGCACCCACAACTGACAAACTCCTACTGTGGGAAGGAGTCACTGTGTTCACCAGGTGCTGTGGTCTGCACGGTGTCCTCCTCCCTTGTTCACTGCAGGTGACTATGGTACACAGGGCAGCTTTTTTTTTATTTTAACTCAACTTATTCATGCATTTCCCCAACTCCCACACCGTGTTAACCTAATAATCATTGCTGTAGTGTAGGTCATGCAAACGAAAAGCATAATTAATTGCGCAAATGATTCAAAAAGGCAGTTCTGAGGGCTAGCAAATAAATAAATAAAGACAGGTAGGAGGAGGGCAGGTCAGAGACACGCTTTTCAAGGGTTCCTCTTTCTTGCCTCTCCCCTCTCTCCGCCCCTAGAACCCAGGCACGGATGGCTGACACCGGACAGTAGGGCCCAGGCGAGAAGGTTCGATTCCTCCTTCCCCGATGCCTCCACTCCGTCCCACATCCTTGAGTCTCCCCAACTCTACCTTCACCCCACCCCCACGCAGTATATCCGCTGCTAACTCAGCTACTGGCTAAAGCCCCCGGGGGGACTAGGCAAGCCACCGAATATTTTGAGTTTCTCAGAAAATAACTGGTCCTCCCCCACTGCACTCTGTTACTTGTGCATTAGGGAGAAGCTGCCCCGCTCCCTCCCCCACAATCGCGCCCACCCCCGTGGTGTAGGAGCTCCAATCCTTCGGATCAGTGCTAATGACCGAATTGTTCCCCAGCTTTGCCTCCTAAACTCAGCAACTTGAGCAGTTGCTCTAGATCAAAGCTCTCGGTAGAGGCAAGATGGGGGAAACAATATTTGTTCAAAGGAAGTGAACTCTTCCCTTTAATTACCCTATTCTTCTTTATTAGGATTTCTATTGAAAATTTTGCAAAAAATTATGTTGATTTAACCATAGTGTATTTATGTTGTAAATATATTCCAAGATGAAAACATCACGGATCAATTGTAAAGGACCCGGATACATAATTTTTAAAAATCAGTTTCAGTGTATATGAGGTTCTCACCCCACTTTCGCTGCTCAGTCAGATTTGTTTATGCAGAATCGACATTTAATAGTGCTAATTGCACTCCAGTTAAATTGCCCTGATTGCAGAAAGGGAAGCAATTTTCGTGCTCTCTGTCTGGGTTTGGAAGAAATTGTTTTATATTCACCTCTTTATAAAGAAGTGGAGATAAGGCACCGGGGCCTTTGCACAAATTGCACTTAGGGGCTGACTGGCAGCATTCAGGCGCTATAATAGAGCATTATTTGGCCGTTTTGAATAATGTAAAGCGTTTGCTGAAAGCTATTCTCCTGAAAATTGCTTTAACTTTTAAAAAAGGGTGATGATTCACTCCAAACCAGGCCTTTGTTACATTGTCATTATTTCCCCAAATGTTTTAACAGTCAGCTCAACACTTTAGCATAACACATTGATCTTTGTTTAAAAACTAGATTTTTAGAGGATGAAAAAATCTGTCACACAAAAAACTGGACTTCTTCAGAAAGATTTCCTTGGGGCCCCACCTTAGATTTAAAGTCGCTAGGGTGTTTGCCTGCGTTGGTTTGGAAGATTTCCCTAACTTTTGTGATCCCGACGCGTGTATCTAAAGGAATATCCCAGGGCATACGTGGAGTCTGACAGCTGGAACCACATTGAAAACGGCAGGAGGGGGAGGGGCGGGGAGGACGAGGAGGAGAAGAGGAAGGCGAACGGGGCTCTCGGAGCCCGAGATGCCATCGTGAACGGTTTTAAATGGTTGATTTGAAAATGTCACCAGTGCTAAGTGGCTTTCGGATTGTCTTATTTATTACTTTGTCAGGTTTCCGTAAGAAGAGGGTGTGTTGGAGTGAGGGAGGAGGTGGAAGGGGGAAATCTCGGCCCTTCTCCTCCCGGAGCTTTACTGGGTGAGTCTGAAACGCCTCGCTGCCACTTAACAGTTCCTCTATTAGTAAATCCGCGCAGAGACTCTACAGGAAGCCGAGCACCAGTCTCCCCTTCCAGGGCAGAAGTCACCTGTTGGGAACGGCTCCCTAGTACCCCTGCTAGGCTTTCTGGCTCTCCCAAACTGCCTGGGTTCCCCCTCAACCTCCACTCCGAGTCCCACGGGGCTTTTCACACCTGCCCCTGTCCCCCGCGGATTTCCACCCCAATCACCCAGTACACTGGGCTTCATTACGGTCATGTGAGTCTTCTCACTCTCTCCTCTCCTTTCTCTTTCTCTGTCATAATTTCCTGGGTGCTTTCTCCACCTTAAACCAAAGGGGAGGAGAAAGCATTCTGAGCAAAGGTATTCTAATGAAAAGCAAAGAAAACAATCCGTTTAGCCATCCCCACCCAGGGAGTGCACTGGGATGCAAGCAGGCTCCATCTTAGGGCTGAGAGAAGAGCCACGCTAGTTGCATTTTTGGGCCAAGAGATATTGCAAAACAGGAAAGAAAGCACAATTCCACGTCCTCCTCACTGGATTTTCCGCTGCAACGACTCATCTTTTTCACCCAGCCACTCGAGGTTCATGGGTTTAAAATGTCTTTTAAAAACCAGGATGTGGTTTTGGAGGTGAATGTGGTACACTAAAACCAGTACCCAGGTCTGTCCGAGGGCGCTGGTATTTCTGGTTCAAAAGCAGCTCCTGGATGCCCTGAAGAAAAAAGAGAAAGCAAGAGCCAGGAAGAAAAAAGATCCAGGAGGAAGAAGCTCGGCGGTTGCTGAGGGACTCCAGGAAACGCAGTTTTCTGTTTGAGGACCCCTCCTTTTAAATAGACAAGTCTGGAGAGGACTTCAGGAGGCTTCTTCTTAAGTCTCCTGAAGGCTAAAATGTGGAGGCGCCTACGTTTGGTCTCGTCCTCTGCACTCGAGGGTGGAGGTCCCGGAGAGAGGCTCTTCAATCATGTTTGCCAAAGCAAGACGCGGGGGGGTGGGGGGGTGGGTAAGGGGCTAGCCCACCTCTCAACAGGGTGCCCTTTCCCTGCAGAGGAGCCCCTAGGCCTAGGGGGACTGTAGTGGGAGTGGGCTGAAGATGGGACAAGAAAACTCGACTCTCGGCTGAAACGTGACACGCAAATCTTCACCGGGTTAAACAAACAGCCGAGCAAGCTGCAGCTTCAGCGGGGGTGGAGGTGGGGGGCGGACGCGGCTCACGCCGGTCTCTGTTCCCAAAGTTGTTGAAACGTGAAAATAACCAGCTTCATGCAGCGTGTTGTATGGGCTGATACCTCCCACCCCCATGCCAACCCCCCAGCGAAACACGGCAGATAATCAGCACGTCCCACTGTTTAGTCGTATTTGACAACTGGGTTAACCTGGTATCTAGGCGCTTGCGAAACGGTACAAAGGGTGCCCTCAATTACCATCAGAAGCCTCTGGTGTGAGTGGCACTTGCATTGCCCACCAGGTCAGAGGCCAGAGCGACAATTAGGAAGTCACTTAGACCGCTGGGGAAAACGGTGGGATGCAGCAGGCTCTAGGCCCTCCCAAGTCTGTGGGTGTAGACTTCGACGGAGAGGCCTGTTTCTCTCCCCTCAGAGGAACTGTCCCTTCCCGCTCCCTCTTCAATGAGACTCAGAGTAAAACTGCATCCACTGGGAATAAGGAACTGGGTAGAAGCCATGAGACAAAGCTAAAATCGTGAGCTATAATGATGGATTCCAGCTGAAGTTGGGCTCCGAGGCGAAAGCTTGGACACACAAAGTGAGCGTTGACATTTGCGTCTCCACTCAGGCCTTGGTCATACGGTCTCTGCCTCGGCGCTCCCTCCCCTCCCGCTTCCTTTTCCACAAGTGGGGAGTGGAGTAGGACTGTCAGTTCCAACTTGCATCATCTCAGGGTGCTCTGGGGGGCTTGTGACTCGGTCTCAACGGTACTTAAACCTGGCTTGTTGCGTGTGTGTAAATTTTTAATTGCACAGTAATGTCTTCAGGACCTAGCGCGCGACCCCCGCCCCCCACCCCCATCTCAAGCGTCTTTGACTGGCACGCGCCAGGAGCCCGGGCCTGGGCCCGTCTGAGCGTCTGATTGGCTGCGGGACAGCTCCCGTCTGCTCTGCCTGCGCCCTCATTGGGCGAGAGGCGCAGCCAGCGGCACTTCAAAGCGGGTGCTCCTCGCACTTAGGCTGAGTTTAGCCGGCGGGAGCCCGGAGTCTGCTCGGCGCGAGCGCGGGGACGCGGGAGCTGCGCTGGACCGGAGCGGTTCTCCCAAGCAGCCGCCAGGCTCAGCTCCACTCCTGGCCCCATCACGCAGCCCAGGGACTTGCTATGGCCACGTCTATACTTGGGGTAAGTCGGAAGTGTGGCAACGCTTTTGCGTGTTTTAACTGAGTAATTTTTCGTTATGGCTTCTCCGGGTCTGCGGCTCCGGAGAAACTGTTGCTGCCGGACTGTAGCTTCAACTTCTTTTAGCACTTTCCACATTTTAGGGACTGATTCTTTCTAAGTTATTGGCACCTAGGAGGTGCCTTTGTTTAAAAAAAAAAAGATTTGTTAAGTAAGTCTTTTTAAATATAGCTTTTAGGAAAACCTAAAGGTTTCTTCCCCTCGTGATTTTTACCCCCTCCCCCTTGCTTCGGGGATTGCTGCAATTAGGCGACAGTGGTGTTTCCAGAAAACAGCCTTAATCGGTTTGCAGTTCGTGTAGTCATGTTAACAAACATTTACACTTCTGCTGTTCCCTAATTGTCTTGAGACTCAAATCCATCGCTGGGTCGCTTCTCTGTGGATTCTTGTTTTCATAATCGGGTATTTGGGTGCATAAATATTTAAAACAACAGTTTCTACTTTTTTTAAAAAAAAGAGTCTAGTAGTAGACACCCTTGAAGGAGTGCCCCAAGTTTCCTCCGCCCCTGGGCCGCTGTTTCAGCCGCTTCCTTCCTCACCCTGTGTTTGTTGTGGTTGTATTTACCTCCGTGCTTCACCCTGAAGGGCGGTTTGGGGGCATCCATGAAGGAATAGGTTTATGGCGAGCAGAAGGCGAGAACCCTGAGTCTGGTTCTGGGCAGGGGTTGCAGCGACTGAGGCTGGGAGAACCGAGACATCTTTGATTTGTAGCTCTACCGAAAAATAACTTTCCAGTTCCGGGCCCCTCGCCCTTGTGATCATCTGTGCTCGGTGAAGGGCGCGGCGCATCTTCAGTGAGCCCGAGGGTAGGAGGCACGAGCCCGGGAGCCACGACCACCCCCCCACACATACACACACGCCGCGGGGCGATGAGGCTGCTCACGGGTGCACTTTGTGTCTTCCTCCCACTTCTTCCTGTCCTCCTCCTCCTCCTTGCTCCCTTCCCCCAACCCCCTCTCTAGGAAGAGCCGCGCTTCGGAACGACCCCATTGGCCATGCTGGCGGCGACCTGCAACAAGATTGGCAATACGAGCCCGCTGACTACGCTGCCTGAGTCGAGCGCCTTCGCCAAGGGCGGCTTCCACCCCTGGAAGCGCTCCTCGTCCAGCTGCAACCTCGGCTCTAGCCTCTCGGGCTTCGCGGTGGCCACTGGTGGCCGCGGCTCAGGCGGCCTGGCGGGCGGCTCAGGCGCAGCCAACAGCGCCTTCTGCCTGGCCTCTACGTCCCCCACGTCGTCCGCGTTCAGCAGCGACTACGGCGGCCTCTTCTCCAACTCAGCGGCGGCCGCGGCGGCAGCAGCCGGTGTGTCCCCGCAGGAGGCAGGTGGCCAGTCAGCCTTCATCTCCAAGGTGCACACCACAGCGACCGATGGCCTGTACCCGCGCGTGGGCATGGCGCACCCGTACGAGTCGTGGTACAAGTCAGGCTTTCACTCTACACTGGCAGCGGGCGAGGTGACCAACGGCGCAGCGTCGTCTTGGTGGGACGTGCACAGCAGCCCGGGCTCGTGGCTGGAGGTGCAGAACCCCGCTGGGGGGCTCCAGAGCTCGCTGCACTCGGGCGCCCCCCAGGCCTCGCTGCACTCGCAGCTCGGCACCTACAACCCCGACTTCAGCTCGCTCACTCACTCGGCCTTCAGCTCCACCGGCCTCGGCTCCTCGGCTGCCGCCTCGCACTTGCTCTCCACCAGCCAGCACCTGCTGGCCCAGGACGGCTTCAAGCCGGTACTTCCCTCCTACTCAGACTCCAGTGCAGCTGTGGCTGCTGCCGCTGCTAGCGCCATGATCTCGGGAGCCGCGGCTGCCGCCGCCGGGGGGAGCTCCGCGCGCTCCGCCCGCCGCTACTCCGGCCGCGCCACCTGCGACTGCCCCAACTGTCAGGAGGCTGAGAGGTTGGGCCCGGCCGGGGCGAGCCTGCGGCGCAAGGGCCTGCACAGCTGCCACATCCCGGGCTGCGGCAAGGTGTATGGCAAGACGTCGCACCTGAAGGCACACCTGCGCTGGCACACGGGTGAACGGCCCTTCGTGTGCAACTGGCTCTTCTGCGGTAAGCGCTTCACACGCTCGGACGAGCTACAGCGGCACCTGCGGACTCACACAGGCGAGAAGCGCTTCGCCTGTCCGGTATGCAACAAGCGCTTCATGCGCAGCGACCACTTGAGCAAACACATTAAGACGCACAACGGGGGTGGCGGGGGCAAAAAGGGGAGCGACAGTGACACGGACGCCAGCAACCTGGAGACGCCCCGCTCGGAGTCCCCTGACCTTATCCTGCACGACTCCGGTGTCAGTGCTGCCAGGGCAGCGGCTGCGGCTGCGGCGGCAGCAGCGGCTGCAGCAGCGGCGGCAGCCTCAGCAGGAGGCAAGGAAGCAGCGTCTGGCCCCAGCGACTCTTAGAGGGCTTGGCGTGAGGCGCGAGCGAGTAGAGACACCGAGAGCGAGAGAGCAGAGCGGAGAAGTTCGAAAGGCGAGCGAGCGGAGAACGGGCGGGGGCTCCGGTGACGCCGCTGGGCCGGCGCGAGATGGAGCAGTACCCGACTCTCCAGCCTCTCTTCGCCGGCCACGCCTGGAGCTTCCTGCTGCTGTCCGAGCCCACAAGAGAATCGAACGCATGGTCCAGGAACAAAAGCGAACCACCCTCCAACACAAGCACTTAAAAACTTTACAACACAGAAACATACATACACACACCGGAGACCTACAACCAAAAGCACGCACACTCGCGCACAAACACACCACTCGCACAAACTTCTTGAGAGAAGAGCAATACACAGAAACGCTCCCTCCTCCTCCACCGCCCACCCCCTCCACCAACCTCCTCTTTCCTTTTCTCCAAAAACAAGCCACTACCCTGCAAAGGACTGTCAGATCATTTGAAAACAAATGGGACCTAAAAAACAGACCTTTTGTGTGGATTATATTATATATAAAAATGCTCCAAGTCCTGCTTGATACCTACTTACAATGAGACTTTTTTCCCTAAAAAAAGGAAGCATCAAAAAAAGCTTAAGGTGAGAAATTAAACTGGAAGTCTAGTGACAGTTTCTCTGTATTTCATAACTTCTGTATAAATAGGGTTCAAAAGATTGTGTTTTCTTTTATTTTCTTGTAAATGTTCATTCGAATAGAGGGGTTTTTTTGGTGAATTCCTGAAATTCAGGGAGTTTTTTTCTTTAATTTTCTGATGCACTTTGTGAAAGTCAGTATATATGTAAAAGATATTTAAAATGTTGAGTTATCATTTCACTCACAAAAACGTAAGTTAAAGTCATCTAAAGAAATTAAATGCGTTTACCTGTATGAAGAAAATCTTGACATCATATTTTCATTTTGGTATTATTAAAGGACTCTGAACAATACACTTCCTTTTTTTAATCCTGTTCCTCAATAACTTTTATGTGGGTCCACTATTTTGGGTTGGGAAAAAAATTCCCTTAATGTTAGTTTTAGGTAATGTAAGGTTCATGTAAGTTATGAAAGCCATAAACATATACATTTTTTGAGGAGTCAAAATTATTTATTTGTATATTAACAGTATAAATTAAATTGGGTTATAAGAATGTGTAGTTGTATTACTTCATGGGAGAGTTCTCAAAAGGTGACATTTTAAAACTCTGGAGCGCCTTTAAAAAGCAAAAATCTTACGCAGCTTTAACTGAGGAGGTGCTTAAAGCTCCCCTAGGGGGTCAGCAAAAACTCTAGTGGGTTTGTTTGTTTTTTAAAAGCGATTTTAAAACAATTTGAAAGCAAAGAGCTTTTTGAAAGAAGTCTTTTAGTTTCCAAGGCTCTCTATGTTGGGAGGCAACTCAAGGGAATAAATCGCTAGAGTCAATACCCCGGAAAAGACATTTCATGCCTAAATGAAAATCTTGTTAAATGTTATTAATTTTGACTTAGAGCACACAGCAGCCCCCTGTGCCTTGTATTCCCTTATTAGGGATTCATGTCTTATCAAATATCTAATTAATCTCCTAGACATCATTTGTTCTGGCCAACTTTATCTCAGCTGGTCCACAGGGAAAACTCCAAATATTCTCCGTGACAAAGCTCCCTTGAAGATCTTTTTAATTGTCTAAATTAACTGCACCAAATTTGCATGTCAAACGGTAAAGGGCAACCTGAGATAAAATGTAAACGTTTTAAAAGCCCCCAAACTAAGCACTTGATTTGATAACTAGCCGTTTTAATGTTATGGAAGACAACTGCTCCTTTCCTTTTCAAAGACGGCTGATCTATGCAAATAGTGAATTGGAAATGCCTAGGTCCCCGCGCCGTCAAATGGCCCTCGCAGGTTATTTGAATATCAGTGGCGCTGCCTCTGAAAAGGTTCAAGGATGCTCTCTGACTTCTTTGTGATTACTCAGTGCGGCGTCTTATTCTGAAGAAAAAAAACTCAGGAATAATTAAAGGCTGGGATCAGGCCTGGGAACACATTTGGGACAGGAATCTCATTTAGACAGTCTCTTTCAAAATACGGCACAGTTAAATTGACCAGAAGGCAATTATTGAAATGAAAATTATTTTCACTCTCTTTGTCTTCTGACCACCAACTTAACAGCCCCAGTTTAAAAGAGAGGGAGAGACTAAAAGAAAATTGGTAAATGAGATAATTTCGTAATTCGAAAAAAATGTTAACTTAGAAAATAAAGTATGTATTTACAGAATAAAATATTTCTAAAAGGTTCCCCACACAATAGGAAATACAAGCAAAGTGAGACCCAGTGGAAAAAATTTTTTTTTATTACTTTCCATCTTGGGAACTTGAATGAAGAAGGTTTTGATTTTTAGGGAAGAAAGATAAATTGTTGTTATTAACAAGCAACAAAATGTTTTCTTGGGAACTCTGCTCTGAAAAGTCAAGTAACAAAAGTAGTGATAAAACATAGAGCAAGGGTCCTCGGAGGGACGTTTGCCTCGTGAGGTTCTGTGCCTACTTTCCTCTCCTCCTTGCGGTCCTCGCAGCCTCGGATGCCCAGCTCTTCTTCCTCGAGATTTTTTTTTTTCCTTTGGCTATTTTCTCTACCAGATCAAACAGTTCATAACAGTAACACCATCCCCCACCCTATCCCCAGCGGGCCTTTGGTTCAGGTCTAGCCTTCTGGAAAGGCTGGCGGGAGTGCATTTGCTCTGGGGACTTTGGGCCGAAGCGCTGGAAGCCGAGAGGGTGCCCGGCACGTTTGGGGGCATGGGCCAGCGGAGCAGAGGTGAGGGTATGCTGGGCTTTCCTGCAGAATGAGGGCGCCCGGGCGTCTGTCCCGTGCAGCTTTGTTTCTGGTGGATAATAAAGGCAGATCAAAGGGCCTGGTGGTGCAGGTCCCGCTGGCCTTGCGGCTCCCTCCGCAGCTCACTGATCAAGGCCTGTGCGCGCTGTCTCTGCCCCGCAGGTCAGCGGATGTCCATCACCGCGGCTCCCGGGAACGGCGGGCGGCAGCCGGGGTCCGAGCGTCCAGCCGGAGACCCGAGCTCTCGGAACCCGACCTGGAGGGAGTGGGGCTCCAGGTCCCCTGCTAAAACCAACAAGCGAAAACAGATCCCAGCCCCAGGGGTCCCAGGGGGCGCTGAGAAACCTTGATCTGGGCTGTTGGAGACCCGCTGAGGCTGAGCAACTAGCAGAGAGCGTGCGTAGGAGGCGAGCGCCCGCCGGAGAAGACTTAGTCTCCACCTGAGCCGAGGGTCCCCGGGGCCACCTCGCGACTGCAGCGGCCCGGGCCGCTCTGGCTCTGGGGCCTGGGAGGAGCAGGGAGCCGCGGCCACGGGTCCAGACTCAGACGAGGGCTGCTGCCTAGAGGCCAGTGTTCGGCGGGGGCGCAGACCGGACCCCTGAGTTCCACCCAGGCCCGGGTGAGGGGAAATGAGATTTCGTTTAAGCCGATTTTTTTCGCGTGTTTCCTGCTCTGTACCTTCCTGCGTCGTAGAGAAAAGAAGACCAAGTTTTCCCCGGCCCTGCGGCTACCTGTGGCCCCAATCTACACCCTCCCCTGGCGGTTTTCCCCCTCTTCTTTTTCTGGACTTACTCTCCTCCCCCCCCTTGGAGTGTATTGGATCCCACCTGATGAGGAAAAAGAAAAAAAAAAAAAGATTTTCTTTCCTCAAGGAGGAAAACATTATTTTGACGAGATTAGATTGTGCACCTGAACTGCGTGTCTGGACATTCCTTCAAATCGTTACAAGTCGTGTAAAATTGAATTTCTTTTTTATTCAGATGGAAACTATTTATTTTAACTCTAATCTTATTTGCATCTATTATCTGTATTCACCAAGGCTCTCTCCCACTACAAAAATGCAGATGAAGTAAATCTTACATAAATCCCGCCCATTTGTGTAATTGGTATACTAAGTGTTTATTTTAAGTGAGAATAATTTAGCTACAAATTTTCTTAAGGAATAACATTCTTAACACATTAAAAAACTGAAAACTCTGATTTGCTTTTATGTTTGACAGTCGCTCTTGATTCCGTTAAGAGGAGCTTGGCGAGTGCGGCTCGCTGGCGCCATCTAGAGCTCCGCGCCGGGACAGCTGCGCTGTCCGCCGGGTTCGCTGCTATTAGTGCCGGGAGACCAGCGCTTTCCGCTAGCTGCAACAACCCATCGAAGCAAGGAAAGAAAAGCGAGCTTTTGTGTTGGGGGTTACGGTGAGGGTGGGGGTGAAGAAAGGGAAAGCCCCGCTTATGGGGGGCATTGCTTAGCAATGGCCGGTTCATTTCTCCTAGAGAAAGAGGTCGTTTCTGAAACACGCTAACTGAAAATCTAAACAAAATAAACAAAATAACTCCCTGCTTGGCCCTAGCCTTAGAATTGTTGCATTTAACATCCCTTTCAAGGCAAGTTCATGGTCTTACGACTCGGAGTTGAGCAAGCCGGGTGTTGGCGGCGACGTGGACCGGGGATGCGGACCCGGCGTGGGCGCAGCTCCGGGTGCTCTTCGCCCAGTGACCCCAGATCCCAGGGCTCCCGGGCCGCCAGGCCCGCGGGCGCCGTCCGGAACCCAGCTGGTTAAACCAGGCAGCCAGACAGTCCCAGGTCCCCAGATTCCCCTGTGAAGGGTTGGGAAGCGAGGGGCTTGCAGCTCTCGCCAGCCTGGGGCCGGGATGGCCGAAGCGGTCTCCGGCCTCGCCGACGTCCTCCAGCGGCCGTCCCGCCCGAGTTGAGCGCCGGGGGCTGCTGCGCGGGCCCGGGCCGGGAGGGGCGCGCAGGGCCGCGAGAGCCAGAAGTCCCGAAAACCCTCTTCGCAGACCGTCCCAAAGGGTCCTCACTTCCTGCCCGCGAAAACTGACCCCCTTGGCCCCCCACCTTTTCCCTTTGAAACTCAAATCTAAAATCGGATAACAGTCGGGGGCGTTGACCAATTTTCTCTCCTCTCTGAGCATCGCCCTCCCCCACCGCCCCTTTCCCTCCTC